TGAACACCATTACATTTTCGGTTGAACGGGAAATGGCAAGTATAATTGGCTAGGCGGTATAAAGTGGTACAATATATAAAACAATATATAATTATGAAGGGATAAGATAGGTGAATCTAATATGAGCACTTATATATGTGTGAGAATATTACTTGTGAGTTGTCCCACATCGTTCATACATAGAAAATAGACTCATCTTATAAGTCTAATAGCGCTACTCCTCCTTCAAACAATTGGTTTTGAGATGGAACCCCACTTGGCTTCATATGGGGTTTCCCTACTTATGGTGCGATTCATGTTAGTGGGACCGTACCCGTTTTTCCCAATTTCTTACATGTACACCTTTATATTATATATATCATTTGAATTTTCCCATTTTTTTTTTTATGGATCCTGTTTTCAATTGTAAGATCAATAATGCATTAACCTAAGTAGCTATATCACAAGTACAAATATTATATGCAGGTGTAATATATAATTTATAACAATATTTGGTTATAATTTATAACAATATTTGGTCCAAATGGATCAATAATCAAATGTGGGAGACAGCACAAACACACTAGCAAAGGGCTTGTGGGCGTGCATGTTCATTAATGGACCACATTGTGTTGTAGTAGGAAAAAAGAAAAGAAAAAAAAAAAAGAAAAAAAAAGAAAAAAGACTTCTGTTTTTCCAAGCTCAAACAGTGCATGGGACACGCTTTTGAACCAAACCCATTTGCCTATATATAGCTCATCATCCATGCAATGGTTTCATAGCTCCTCATAAGGTTGTGGAAAAAAATACATTTTTAATTAGCTTATAAAATTTCCCTTTCTTATGGCTTCTAGAAAGCTTGTTAGTGTTGTTTCCTTTGTTGTGTTGTGTGTAGCGATATGCTCGGCCGCTAGGACTCTTTTAGAGGGCGGTGGCCACCACCCCGATGGCTTGAGTGTCGGTGCTAATGTTGGTGGTAATGTCGGTGTTGGTGTTAATCTCGGGGGAGGATATGGCGGTGGTGGAGGTGCCGGTGAAGGTTCGGGCGGTGGAGAGCATGGTGCCGGCGGTGGTGGTGGTGGCGGCGGAGGTGCCGGAGGTGGTGGTGGTGGTGGTGCCGGTGGATATGGTGGAGGTGAAGGGTCGGGAAAAGGTGGAGGCTACGGTGGTGGTAGTGGTGGTGCGGGAGGTTATGGTGGTGGGGGTGGCGGCGGAAGTGGTGGTGGAGGTGGTGGTGGATCGGC